TTTGCTTCGGGTTCGAGATATATATATTAAAATTAACCTAATCAACTGAAATGAGATACAGATACTTATATGATTTAACAAAATCAAAGGTACATAATGAAAAAGGCAACCATATTAGAAAAAGACGCTCTCTGCATTTTACTAAGGTAGCTCACATATTGACCGTTATATACAGTAAAAAGTTCACCGGAAGTTCGAAAATCTTTACAAGTATGTTAGGTATATGAGAGTTAGGATACCCGATTTTATGCACATTACCACATTTTTATTGGGAAAAGATTCTCCCTGAATTTCAATAGCATATCTCACAAAGTAACCGAAATTTTCGACAAAAAGTCACACATCAGGGGGCTTTAAAATGTATCGTTACATTTCTACTTTTTTGGATGTATTTAATATGGTTGGAATGTACTATTTGCACAAACTGTGAGAACTAAATATCCATATGGAATTTAGCCCACACAACACATGAAGACGCACCCTGTTAAATAAAATCAACACAACAAGTATTGGGCTGCAACGGGAAAATCACGCCACTTCTAGCAACACACGCCATCCTAAAGCAACATGTTGCAACACAACAGTTAATCCACCTCACGCAAGCAACACAACAAGTATTGGGCTGCAAAGGGAAAATCACGCCGTCCTAAAGCAACATGTTGTGAACGGGCAAGCAAGCAACACACGGCTTGGCGGAAAGCAAGCAGACCGATCATCAGTCAGTCAGCACAGGACTGTAACAGCGATCACACGCTTGACACTAGACTTAGCAGTGAGTCGATCCTCTGGCTAGTTGTAGTGTCCTGATTTGTGAACGCCGTTCGTTAAGGGTGAGCTCGGTAGTGAGACCGACTCAATCCTTAACCTTCGGTCGCCAACACAGTCTCCTGTGATCCGGTAGTATTTTTTTCACGGCTAGACACGAGCTGCGGTAGAATCGGGATCTAAGCCTACACGAGCGCCGGCAGAAACATATGGGCGCCGTCGTCGTAACACACACGAGCGTCAACTCACGCAGCGGTAGAATCGCCTTCGAAGCCATCATCACAACAGGACGAAACGTAAGTCATCCTAAGCCGCTTAGCACACCCAGAGCGCGGCAGAGTAGTATACGCTATCGTATAAGAGCTATTCAACGGAAGCGCGGAAAGGCGGACGACGTTACTGCGGTAAGAAGTGAATGTCCCGCAGTGAGTCGATTCTCTGGCAGGCATTTCACTCCTTAGCGTGCGAAGGCTGGAAGTCACGCGTAAAGTGGGTAGTGAGTCGATCCTCTGATCTGCTCCACTCTTGTCATCGCTGCCACTGCGTTCCGTAATTCCGCGTGATAGTGACGCGCTAACGGGCCACGTAAACCGCTACTCTGTCATAGTGCTATCATCGGGTGACGCTACTACAACGAGGAAGATACCATTTTGTGATTAAATTGAATAACGCACGATTTGTAAAAGGAGCCCCACAGTTTACAAATTTATCGTAACGAACCCTGTACACGGCGAGTATACCTCAGCAAATCATAAGAAGCAGGGGGCAGCAAAAAGCTTCGTTACAAAACTTTCACAATTTTTGTTCGTTTGACAGTTTTGCTTGAATTTTCTTTCAATCTAATGAAGTCATTGAGTTGCGAGATAAAGATAAAAAAAATAAAGTTAGAACCAAGATTGTCATTAATATCTTTAGTTCCATCTAAAATCAAAGTAAAATATCATTCAAATATGTATGTATATGGGCAAATATTCAATGTTCTCGCCATCATAAGTACATTTTTTTCCCAGAATCACAGAACTTAATTAATTTTAATAATAAATTATTAAAACAATTTATAAGAGAACGTAATAATGCGACTTCGTCTTCGGTGCATAGGTAATTGCCAAAAAGGATCAATTTTATTTATAATGCGCTATTTTCTGTCACTCGTATCGACTATCGACATTATACTTTGTTCATATGTGTACATTGCAATTGACGTTTACGGAGTCAGCCAATATGTGGAACTATCCCCTGGCAGAGTTCAGTATCATTAAATTAAGCAATTTTGTTACATACATATTTACTTCAGCTCTTTGCGCTATTAAATATGTTTTTAATATTTTGGACAAGAAGTCTACGCATTTGTATATTTAATTACTAAATACATTTTATACTAATTATTTATTCAGTTATTGTAGTATTGCAATAGTCTACGTAGATGCCTAATATTCTAAGAAATTTGTTTATTCAGAAAATATGTATACCGTATAATTCATATGCAACATGATACTTTATTTAGTCTACTGATATTGTGTATATAAACAATTTTAGGAGTATTATTTTTAATAAAAATGCGACCCTAATAGAATATGTTTGTAAATATCTCGCAATTTGCCATTATGAAGCTGAATTAAGCCTTACGAAGTACAACACGGTTTTCGTGGCGAATAACCACGTCGACAATGCTCATATTTGGAGTCAAGAAATTTACCAGACGGTCGGTCCCAGCGCGTGACAGGCGGTCGAAAGGATATCCCATAGGTCGACGATCCGGATAGAGACGATCGCGCACACCACAATAAGAGGCTGCGTCACTACACGTGCCAACCAATTGTTGCTCGATCTATAAATTGTGTTCGAAATTATCAAAGTAAATATTATTTACAAATTAAGATTTTCTTTACCCTATCTTGGTCATAGTTAGACACCATGACAAATAGCTCACAGCGTAGGCCTTGGGGTAAACCTTTTGGAATAAGCATGTGATTGGGCCATCCACAGCCACAAAAGTTGAATTCTAGTTCTTCTGCACTGCCTGCTGCAGGGCGATTTACATCTAAATTGCGGAATGTGCGCTCGAAGGGAATGGTGACGCTGGACTCAGTCGATCGGCGCCGAATGGTGTTTTGTCCAGGGTTTACTGTAGATTAATAAGGATTCAGATGTGTTACATCAAGTTACAATTAGCTTATTACTTACGGAAGCTTATTACTTACGGGTTACAATGAATTTATCTAACTCTATCATGAGTAAACGTTGATCCTTAAAGAGCATTCCTTGTCCGCGCTCATCTGTTTTCGGTCCCAGAAAGATACGTACTGTACCAAATCGATGGGCACCACTATTGTTATTTACGTTAATGGTGTAGGTGAATGGCGTATGTTGAAGATGAGTGAAACGAGCAAACACATTACCACGTGGCACAAAGTCCATTCCTCGTGACAAATCGATGTCAGATTGTTGCCAAAATGTTTGAAGTACATTTGGTTGGCCCCCCTCGGGAATTACTTGGACACCTGTAACAGAAACATCATCATAGCTCAGTTCAGTTAGGGCATGTGGAGGAAGACGAGTCTTGTATTCTTGGAAAATGTCATCGATGTAGGCATGCCATCTATAGAAAACAGGATCGCGCATAGCAGTGGCAGAGTCTCCCATTACACCAAAGGACTCCAAATGACGATGATCGGGATCGTGGGAATAGGAAATAAACACATGTCCCATATTATGGAAATCGCCATACAAATTACGATTGGGTGATACAATAGATGATTCCATCATGTTGCCCAAAACATCAATTCCGCGCACTTCGTCCAGTGGCACATGATTACCACTTTCCTGAAATTGGTAAAATTTTGAATGCATCTGCATATTATTTATGAGTACTTACATCAGTGGCAAACCCTTGGGATATAGCTTCAAAAATACGATCCCTCCAGCGCTCCAAATCACTTACATCTAAATTAATTTGATCCAACTCTCTGTTGAGGTCTGACAGCCTTGTGTCTTCGAATCGCGGTGGCCAAGCGCGACTAGAAACCAAAGAATCCATCTTTGGGAAATAACCCTCTGCGATTGGTTCACGCAAATTGTTGAAGCGCACTACTCGAGCGAGGTTATTACTGAAACGCTCTAAATTATAGCGGGCCACTACTTGTTGATGCATGTAGTAGAAGAGCTCACCGCGACGATCCTTATTCACAATAGAACGATCACCAGCTTCAAAAGGGTATACCAAATGCCAATGCCAATGATGGAGATTAATTCCAAGGTCTTCCCGGAAATACCATAATCGATGTTCGGGCTCAAGATCGGAAGCGGTATAATCCCGTGGAATGATGATTGGCATTCGTGATCCCTCTGGAACTACGGTAGCTTCTTCACGTACTTCCCGAAAAACTTGGGAATCTACAAATTTGTCGGGAAAATTTTGTGCAAAGGATGGTAAATCAAGTCCTTTGGTGTCCGGTCGATGAAGTAGCGCCACAGAGAGTGCATAATTGAACAAATAGGGGTTCAAACGATCTCGGGCATATACAGCAACACTCTGAAGATCATCAACAGAGTGCACTCCCATGAAAATGTCAATCAAACGACCAGCAATACGTCGATGAGCCGGAATAAAAAGAGAAAATTGTGCATCTCTTGGGAGTGACATGGGTAAACGGAGATCTGGGATGGCTATGTCTCTAACTGGAATACGTTGTTCAGCCTTTTCACCAAAACGGCTCTGCACCTCATTACCGATGAGACGGTACCGATCAGTGAGGAACTTGTCGGGAACATCGAAAACGGCAGCCTTTCCCTTCTCCATGAAAATGGGTTCGTTGGGACGATCGAAAAGCAATAAAAGATTATTTTTATCGGCCATTATTAAGGATTTGTAAATCTTCTTCTACAAACAATTATAGGCTGAAATCCGAGACTTAACTGTACTCAATGTACAACTGTAGTTCCAGTACGAAAGTAATGAATTTCAAAGTTAATGTCGCCCTTTTATACGTGTCATAGGGTGCCAATTTATAAGTAAGGAATTGTTATCTTGTCTTGGTGGTTACATTTTATTGTGGTTTCTAAAATACGGTTAGCACATATAGTATCTTCTAGATAGTACACATGTGTGAATGCGGTTAAAAATGGGAAAAACTTTAACTGCTGCACAGCCAATAGTAAATATTTTTTTTATCAAAAATATCAATATGTAGAACCCCAGGAATTAATGACGTATTAAATCACGCACAGTATACTGATTTCCAATTGAATGATTTCAATAAATTTATTTTTCCACTAATAATATAATAATATATATTTTGACCTATATATAACAATATATGTATGTAAATGTTTCAGATCTATTTAATATCAATTTGTGTCTGAGCTACTTAGAACGTACACAAAAAGTAAATATGTATATGTATGTACATTTTCCCTTTTTATTAATATTTTGATTTGACCTGTGTGCACAATTAGTTTTGATTCATTTTTATCATTATTTAATTTAATTCTTTATTTTTTTTGAATTTTTTTCTACACATACATGTAAGTATTTTAGTACGTCAAGACAAAAAGTAGTTTATGCATTTCCCTAAACATACTCTAGATAATATTCTAACAAACTTTATTCTACTCCTACATACATACACATGTATGTTGGTAATGCGTAACATATTGTGTAAATGGATAAAATCAATAACTCTAAAAAGCTTCATAGGTCTCTTATATATTTGTATATTGCAAAAACTTAAATTATACGCTACAATTTAAAGCTAGAAAAATGTACATCGATTGTGTTTTTTATTAAATGCACTATAAAGTATGTACCGGCTTCAGTTGAGCATAGGAGTTTGTATACAAAGTTTTGATATGCATAGTTTAAGCTCTTTAGAACAGAGATTTGGAAAAACTGAAAGGGGTATTAACAAATTAATATAAAATCGTTATATGTGTAGTATATAAAATATTTATATATGTATGCAAGTACACTTATACATATAACGTAAAGTATTATATATATATATGTATATATATTGTAATTATAAAATCATTTGTACGTTTTTAGAATTTTTGTTTGACATTCTGTATGTTTGTCCGTTCACCACTCAAAAAGTAATGCTCGTGATTTATGAAAAACGCACAACACTTTAGTAAATCTGAATAACTGATTTTTATGGTCCACTTAAGTCTGAAAATAAACGAATCCAGTGCTTTCGCCAACTATTAGTTTATAAACAATATAATAAAACCATTTCGTTTTAACTCACAAAATCTAAAAAAAGATATTTAATAAAATAATGCTGCAACACATAGCAGTGCCAAGCGAAAATTGGCGTCAAGTGTCTCGGACATATATGTAAGTGTCATTTATATTTATTGATAACAATCGGTTTCATATAATCCTTCACATCTTTTAGCTAGTTTTTAATAGTATTAGACTGTCATATTCCTGGCCAAAAGTCTGACATAAAAAAGTTCCGTTTACCAGTTCCGTTTTAAAGTCGTTTGACTAATGAGACTTATGGTTTATACCAGTTGTAAACACAGTCGACTAAACGTTATTGTGGTATACAGGCATACATATATAAATATTATGCTTATACATATATATTTTTCACAGTAGGATCCCCCGGATAATTGCACCTTAATCAGGAATCCCGCTTAGTTGGACAAAAAAAGCAATTAAAAAATAATTCATATGTTCAGTTAAAGTGTTTATTTAGTTTTTAATAATGATATTTAAATAATATTTTCAACTTTAAACGAAAACAAGAAAAAACGTTAACGGTTGCACCAAAGCTATACAAATACAAAGGTTCCTAACAAGAACTTGATTTCGATTGTTCAATTTGTCTGGCAGCTGCTTATATGATATGTGGGTGTTGTAGAATCTGATAGTTAGCGGAATCAGAATTGAAACCAAAAAAAAAAATGAGTAGGTGTCGTGAAATCAGATATTATTGGTTTCACGTTCGAAACAGAAATTGTATCGGTTTTAGGTGTCACGGAAACCAATTTTATCGGTTTTGTTATCATAAACAAAGCAATAAAATTTTTTCTCTATTCGTATACGGGAAAACATAAGAATAAAACACAAAATATCATAATTATTGAGTTTATGGAAGAAACTAAGATATTTTAAGAGGATTTAAAAAATATAATTAACGCTATTCAACGCCCAAATGCGTCTTTATTCAGTCAATAATGTGATATAAATCTGTATAGTAAGCATGTGAACAAACATACAAGAAAATGCAAGCCAAATTTCACATGCGATTCCTCTGATGCATCAAGTGAATTACTGTGATCTTTTAATATCTTCCTTTTATTTTTTTCGTTGCTTTCTTCTTCCAATAAAATAAACACTGAAACTGCGGAACTGATTGTAAACTTTAGTAGACTGTATTCAGTGTTTTAAATTTATCAAACGCTTCCAAATTTATTCATTTGCAAGTTTTGTCACATTAGTAAACAGCTGATTCGAATATTGGTTTGGCATATGTTAGAAAATACGAAAATCCAATCAGATTCTGTGACACCATTGAAAATCAGAATTAGTTTGCAATTCTGACAACTACGCAAATCTTTCTTGGATTTCACAACACCCCTGATACTGATTTGATCTGAACAATTTCTTTAGAGAATACATCGTTGCCTTAAAAAATAACTCGTACCTAATTTAGTGAATATATCTCGTCGAATAAAAAAGTTTTCCATACAAGCACTTGATTCTAATTGTTCAGTTTGTATGACAGCTAATGCTATAGTGGTCCGATATCGGCCCTTCCGATTTTAGTGTGGAAAGGCAGGTGCAAAATTTTAAATCGATAGCTTAAAAACTGAGGGACTAGTTCATATATATACAGACAGACAGACAGACGAAAATGCCTAAATCAACTCAGCTTATCCTGCTGATCATTTGTGTATATCTTTTATAGAGTCTCCAACGTTTCCTTCTGGGAGTTACAAACTAATATACCCTGTTCAGGGTATAAAAATATAGGGAACAAAAACAAGACAATACACTTACATACATATATATTAAGAGATCATTGTTATAAAAAATAAAATAAACTTAAGCTATATTCGTGTTATTGTATATATGCATTTAGAGATCGGTGCTTACATTTTTAAAATGTTAATTTGAGATATCTGTAATTTTTTTGTATATTGTTCATTCTACAAGAAATAACATGCGTTTTTATATTCCCTAATTCACACAAAAACTTGTTTTCTTAATAAAAATAAGTATGAAGTTCTTGTATGTATTTTAAAAGTTCGAAAACTGACGGGACGGAGGCATTGAAGGATCATTTTCTTTCTCTTACTCCTCAACCTCAGCACCAGAGATAAAATCAGTACCCAAAATATCTTCACCAATAAACACATGTTTTCAATTGCTTTGTAGAGATGCCAACTGCTGCTTATCACAAATGTTGCGAAATATGTATGTATGTGTATGAGTATATGCGACAATGTCAGAATATTTTTTAACGAAAGTGTTTTGTGCAATTAACCGGGGGAAATTAAAGGTATATTTTTTTCATTAACACATATTTTTAATCAATTATGCGGGATTCAGTAAGGCTGGAAAATTTACCCGTATTTTATATGCAACATATGTATTTTTGACCGATCAGATGATTCAAATTATTTAAATCAATTAACCGGGGGTCAATTAAGCGGGGGATACTGTAAAACTTTTTTTTTTAAATCACAGGGTACAAAGAAAACAGTTTTGAAATACTGTGTTTGCGAAAGTAGCATTTTAAATAGGTAAACCTATTTTATATGTAAATTAGCTAATAACAATTTTAATATTTTGTTTTAATTCCATCTATGTATGGTCCTTCCATATTTGTTTGTCCTTTGTAAATCTTTGGCATACAGGTAACATTTTTCTTTAAAATATTTTATCAAAAGAGTTACTCTCCTTACGTCTAGGAACTTTAACAATCCTCCATAAAAGTAGCATTTTCTCAGCTTGAAGTTTTCAGTTATGTAGTTATTTTTGACTAGCAGATATAAATATGTATGTACTGAAACATATGTATATTCGAATAGTATACTTCACAATTACATATAACCTATATCTGCATACAGTATATATAACCTATATGTATGTACTGTGGTGGTTTTTATTCTTGTTATAATATATTCGTTGATACCGAGCGAAAATTTAATGAAAAGTTGCTTAGCAGAATTTTTTGCGTCATATTTTTTGTAGAAAACAAAAAAGTACTGATCACTCGCAGGTACATAACCCTTCATGTGAATGTATTTATACTGTAAATGTATGTATGTATGTATGGTATTTAAACTGTACAAAAAATTGCAATATTTTGTGATTATATAGCAACTTTACTGCAAAAAATTTAACGAAATGATTTTTTTTATTTAAATTATATACAGTGTTGTTGTTAGGTTTTTTTTTTGGTTGTTGATGATAGAACTGTTAGTCATCCCATTTATGAGTGCAACTAGTAGTAGGAACTAATGAAGTGAAAAAAACAAGTGAGTTGAAAGTTAGGCATTTACTCCAAAATCTTAAATAATGTTGAAATGCCTTCGATGAAATGCAGACAATTTGTTTACACTTGTTATTATTACATAGAAATATATATGTATGTATGTACATATGGATCGGTACTTATCATAAGTTTAAATATTTAAATACGCTACAAAGATAGGAATTTATTTTTAATGCAATGGGTATCTTGACAGCATAAATGTCACTTCTTTTGTACTGTAAACTTTGGACTTGATTCCCTTAGCTTTGCAATAATGCGTTCAGGAAGACTTTTTTTCATTTTCACATTTCACAATTGCTAAAATTGGCAAAAACCAGGAATTTTGGTTTTTAATTTTCTTGTAGTAGCCAAGTTTGTTACGCATCACCCGAGTAGCAAATTTTACAATGAAAATAGTTTGTGAGTTTGAGTTGTATGGTGAAAGTGATTCCGTATCTATACTCATATAAGGGGATTTACAATAATTGCACTAATACGTAACTCTTAAATTTCTGAAAAGAAAAAAATTATATAACAAACATTTTACAATTGTTTGATGGGGCGTTTTTTCAAATTACAGAACGATTGGTTTAAGTAATGAAGAGATTTAGCAAATTCCATCAACAACGCAAAAAAATTCGTTATGAGATTCAGTTCGGGTTACAGTAAAGTAAAACCACTGACCAATAGGCAATAGACGTAACAACTTTTTTAACGACATCACACTAATTCTAGTGAATTCCAAAGTCAACGAGGGCCCACAAGAGTTACTAATGAATGGGAATTGAATGGATTTTTTTTTTTTTGTAATTTTTGTAAATGAATTAGAAAGCTTGCTTTCCACAAACTTTAATAAAGTTTCTACATACCAGTACCAAAGTAATAACTCTAATTTACTTTAACCGCTCAAATATAAAAAAATTTTACTGTGGGAGAGGAAAATTTTTGCGCTATATACCATACATATATAACACGAATGCTGCCATTTTTGGAGAAATAGCTTAAGTCAATGACAGGGTAGAGTTTTGTGTATTAGTAACGTTCTATACGCCAAAGTCTATAACTGTAAAACGTTCATTTTGAAAACTTAAAGAGTGCGCAAATGATTCCAAAATCTAATATATTTTGTTATTCAAAGTTTTACTTTCGACATACTTATGAAAACCTCAGTAAAAGCAGAAATCTGCCATGGTATGTATATATTCGTGAGTATATACATTTTTACCATGTATGTATATAGTATATATAATGATTTAGAGTATAGCTTCTTTCGACTCTAATAACAAACTTTAATATAATATTGGTAATCTACAATTATGTAACAAGATTTCTTCTTGAATTCGTATGCAAGTGCCATATGTGCTGCATGTACTCGATGTAAGTTTATGTATGTATGTATGTATATATCGTATATAATATTAAAACTTATGTTAATTTCTGGATAAAATAGTTACTTTTCACTTCCTGTTTTCTTTTAAAATGCTCATAGCTTCAGCAGGTATCTTGCAAAAAATGTACAAACTCTGTAGAACTGTCTGTGTAGTCAGTGTAAATAGGCTTTAACTGTTAAACTCTATAAGTTAATAATATTTGATGCATTTGGTTCCTTGTTGAGTTTCAAATTTGTAATTTTTCACAACGCTTTAGAGCGATTTAGGATAATCCCACGCGGAAATGCTCGTAGCCATACATGTACATATAATATGTATATACATCTGTCGATCTTGCGATAGGACGTTGAACAGAAAAATATTTTTTATTTGGAAATAAATAGTGTAGAATGAAATTGCAACAATTGAAAATAAATCATATATAAACTTAATTGTGTATAAATTAAAGAATTATATTCAAAAAAAATTTTAACAATGCCGAAAAAATTCATAAAATTATAAATGGGAATTTGACGGTGAAATATTGTTAGCCGTGACTCTTTACACATTCGCAGTGTTTTTTTGTGAATCTTAAACACAAATCACAATTGGCGAAGTTCATCTTTACATTATTTTTTGTATTTTGTATCTCGATTGGACTTTTGAACAAACTGTCTTTAAATTTAATTTCTTATAGTTAATATTTTCCCTAATAAATATTTTTTGCAAGACAATTTCGACAACATATTCGCATTATTGGAGTGCCTGTGTGTATGTACATACTTTATCAACTGTAACATATATTTAACAGGTGCATACGACTGTTTTAATTGTAATTTTAAAACGATTCCTAATATGTATATTTAAGTGGATCACTACGGTCACAATACGGTCTAATTTACTGTTTTATTTGTGCCCCATGGTAGAATTGGTTTTTCCATCCTCCGTCAATTCCTGCTTACAGTAATCCATGACAACATCAGCACGACAATCTCCCATAAGTCCTGGTAGGAGTACGGCCACACCCATTATTGTTACAATGGTTCCGAAGACGACCAGACCGAGTGCCGGCAATTTTTCGCGGCTGAAGAGAGAGTGGGATTCCATTTGTATGTAAGCTAGACCAGGTAGAATGTATGCCAAAGGAATCGCTGCCAAAAGCCCCTACGAATGATAGTTCGGTATATTAGTATTTACAATTTAACGACGCTAGTCGCTTTACTTACATTTAACTCCAGTACCGATCCTAAACAATCAGTTAATGGCGAAATGATAAAAGCACTGAAAACTATAGCCAATGTTATGGTTTTTCCATATTCATCAAAATCGGCGCCCTTCTCGAGATTGGGATCTTTGTCTAATGTCAACTCACTAATTGGTTCCTTCAGTACAAAGCGGTGCACAAAAGCGCGTACAATCTGTAATATTTTAACATAAAGCAATACTTATGTTTTATGTCCTCAGATATTTTTTGGAATAAAATCATCCAACCTCTCGAGAAACAAAACACTCTATTGGAAAAGTCAATAAAATGGAAATAGAGAAAAGCACCCGTGAAAAATTCATCAGATCATCATTCCAACAGTAATTCTCCAATAAATCGCCTAAAATAAGAGAGAGAAGTTGAATAAAATAGTAATAATATGTTCATATACATATATATTCCAAATTCTTGCACCCTGATAATGTGACCAAATTTTCGATGTTTCCTCTGGTGAAAGGTAAGCTTCTGTTCAGTTAAAATTTAACCCTTCTCGTTTCCTTAACAATCTCTATTAATATTACTGCCCCCAGGCCATAATTCCACATAGTAAACATATTTCGCCATGAGTTCGTTTAACAATATTTGTATATACCTATAACATCTAATACAACCATTTATGGTGTTATAAAAAATCTCCCCAATGCGTTTTTTCTTTTTACCATTTGAATTGCCACTAAAACATCGAAACCTTTTCCTGATTTATCATTTATTACCGCAGAACTTTCACATGTATAATAAAAATACCTTGAGACAGCGCACGGAATGTAGAATATCCAGCAATACCGAAGAGAGCTGCTACTGCTAAAGCAAATCCAATTGAAATGTGCGTGACTTTCTCCCATCTTTCAAGCGTAGCATTTCTCATTGACTGATAAACCAAAAACGTATTATGGTGGCACATAAATGCTGCAATACACCATATAAATAAAAAAAGAGTGACAAGCATTCAAAATACATAGATAGTAATTATGTTTTGACTAAATTATATAAATATCAAGTAATAAAAATTTCAACAAACAATTTTATATTCTCCTCTCCACCTCTTTAGCGACGAAAATAAATATTTAATTAATTATTTTAGAAACTCACCAAAAACCATAATGCCCGTTGCTGGAATCAAATCAATGTTGGCAAATCTCCAAGATTCGGGGGAATCAGCGCTGAAATTGAACAAAAAAATGTTTCTGATGCTTACGAGTATTGAGACTTAGATACTTAGATGTATGTATGTACATTTACCATATAAATATATGTAAATAAACTAAGCTTTATTTTTCAATTCTATTTGGTTACAGAAGCAGAATATTTATTGAAAATGATAATAAACATTATGTCTTATATCTTATGAGATACTTTTTCTAAGTTTTATAAAAATGCTTGTATTTTTGTCATTCACTTATCTCTGTACTTTGTACAATCTAATGTGTCCCACTTACTTCTTTCAAGACCATAGAGTTATTTTAATTAAGACTTCACCATCTCTTTTTAATTACTTGGTCAGAGAGGGTTTCAAAACCAATTTCACTTCTTTCTGGTTATTTAAAGAGATAAATCGATGTAGTAAAACGAAAAGAGGATTAAGAATAACGAGGTTGTTTAAGTAAAATAAATTTTACTCGGGTCGTCCTTTCAGATCGACTAAAGCAGATAAATAATGGCTAAAGCAATTCGTCTTTTCATTTTACGAATTTGATTTCAACCACATACATACTTGTATGTATATCTAACCTAATCATTTTATGTTAATACAATCGACCGTTATATGAAAACAGACATTACATATATAGAGCGTTTTTCTAGAGGCATACAATTTTCTATAGTGAATTGGTGTCTAAGTAGAAACAGCCAAAAAACCTGATCTACCAATTAAAATCGGGGAAGCTTTTTCCAAAGCTTGTATACTGTGCATCATACTTAGTGTAGCAAAGTGTATAGGAATACAAAACTGGAATTGTTCCATAATTTTATAAACCTGAAGATGAAGCCCACTTTACCATCAATAGGGAGCGCTACACGAAAAAATATGGAACTTTTCAATCGTTTCAATTTCAGTCGTTTAAAATGGATACAAACCACATAATTCGTGAAACTATATATCGGGAGGAATTTTTAGTAGTCGAATCATATTAAGAAATGGGATGTCAGCTTACCACATAAGTCAAGACTCCTTCTATGTTCGGTTCATTCGGCGTTTTGTTTGCGACATAAGGCTTGCTATATTGGAAAAAAGCACTGAATCATATAGGTACAATTTGCAAACTAATTTCGCCATTAATCTTTCTGTGAAATTAAAATCTCCTAAAAAATTGCCTTCAAATAAAAGTAAAAGCCATTGTATGAGTTTTCGACACTCTGTCCAATAAAGGCACACCTGCAATGAGGCTAAAAATGTTAACAAACAACTAATAATAGCAATCTCCACCGCTCCTCAAGATAATCAAACTTTGGAGTTATGTCCTTTTTGCAACTAATTCGAGTTCAAAAATTCCAAACACAATAACACTAGCGTATGTCTATGCTTATATGCTTCTGAACAATTTTAGAATATTTGTACTATAGCAACCAATCGATTAAGTCATATTTGTACAAACATACAGCTGTGGTCAAAATAATTTGGTGCTACTGTGGCATATATGTATGTAGTTTATCGTTTTAAATTGTACAATACTTATAAAGATCAGCATTTGCTATGTTTATTATCATAAGTGGGAGCTATTGAGGCAGTCAAAATAATAGTAGTGCCAGGAATCCCCGAAATCCTGGGACGGTATTCAAAATACACAACAAAAACTGTTAAACGTTTTTCATTTTCAGTCAATCAGTTAGGCGTCAGACCGACATATTGGATTAAGTAAACTATGGATCGTACTGTGTCTTTCGAATTATACAGAATACCTATGCCTATGACCACTAAAAAATTAAATTACCATGGTCTTTCAACAAGAAAATGACCAAAAACACACAAGCAAGTTGGCTCAGCAGTGGTGTCACATTCTCCAGCCTGTCATTGCCGTTTTGATTCGATTTTAGTGAAATTTCCTTCTTATTTTAATTAATTTCTATAAAGATTAAAAAACAAAAATTGTACAACTGTGAAGACAAAGTAAATTGAGAAGAATTTTACATTGAATTTTTGTAACTTTAAATATTACCATACTAAGTAACATTATTTTGAAAAAAAAGAAGTGATTTTATGACTTTTATTAATTTAATAATTTATTGGACTGCGATGCTGGTATGATAATATAATATTTCAATAGAGATTTGGATATCACTATATTTTATTTCATTACAGTTTTCTTTGTAATATTTCCAAACTTTATTGAAGCGGGTTTTGATGATAAAAATTTTGGTTGTTTGAAAGAGATGGTATGATGGAGTATGGTAGGCATTTTGATTCCTAAGGATTTTTTCGAGTGGTAATGCTGCTACAGACCTTAACCCTGTAGGAAATTTGTGGTGCAATGAGAAAGAGGCAGTTGCTGATGCTAATGCAATAAGCTGTTGAGCGCGCATGTAAATCAATTCCTAATGAACGATGTGAAAATCGCATTAATTCAATGCATCGGCGATGTGTCGCAGTTATAGCGAACAAAAGGCATGTACTTAGTATAGTTTTTTCATGAAGTTATAAAACATCGATAATTATTTTAACAAAAATTATTCAGCTATATTCGGGATTACACTACTATTTTTTTGACTGCCTATATATTCAAATTCTTTCGAAATCAAATTTTTATATCATTGTATTTTATCATTTCCTTTAAGTTTCTTTAATGAATTACTTGTGAATAAAATGATTTGCTAAAATAAATATTGAGCAGACAAGCAACCTGCGTTTTCTTAATTTACTGTAACTGTACAACTGTATGTATTTATTCACAATATACTCACACAGTGTAATCACCCGACAACAACTTTACAATTACAGCAAACAAAATGAACACCACACAAGCCAAACTAATAAAACTGGCACGGGCTAATCGAGAAACATTTTTGTATAGACATAACGGTACTACAACGCCAATTGTAACGAAGAACACAACACCCAGCCGTACAGCGCGCATCGACGTAGTCCATGACGGAAAAAACCGTACTAGCACTTTAGACAAAGTATCACCTACGACGACATTATACGAAATCATAGCTGAAAATATAAAAATATAATGACATATGACACGCTTGTATAGTATTCATGTATGTACAAATAATTAGAATCATACTTTAGGGAAAACTTACCCAGAAATGGATACATGAATTGTAATATCGACAGAAGGTAGTATCCATATTTACCATATGCCGCTTCCATAATGCCTGGGTAGCTAAACTTTCCGCATATATGTCCGCATCTTACCTGAAATAAGAAAGAATAAGTATATGTTGTGGTCTTAAAACATACAAGTTAGGTCTAAATTTGCCGAGCATTATCTACTCTCACAATTTATGGGAATTAATGGTGAGTGAAATATTTAAGCATGTCTATAAATCCTTATAAAAAATCCTGACTTAGTGCAGAGGCTTAAACGCAATGACTTCTAGTCCCTCTCAGCCGGTGTGAGAGGTTCCGTACAGCACTCTTCAGACAGGCTGGCAGGGGCTGCAAGTGTGCGATAACCAAGAGCTGCCACCTCCTAATCCAGGGTGTTATGCGATTCCCGTCGATTGAATGATTTGCAGCCAGGAGATAAATTAAAGTGTATTTTAACGGAGCCTTCCCAACACCGGGCCGACTTGGGAAGTAACTGTGGCCTTACCGCGTCAAGGGGCTCTGGCGCGGCGGACTTTAATGTTCCCCCTAAAACATAATAGACCCGGAAGCTCACCATTTTAAGCCAAGAGTCGCACGAATCAAAATGAGCACAAACAAAAAACTACAAAAAACCCAAAACACAGAGCAACAACAACAGCAACCATCAAGAACGACAACGATATCAGGAGCTAGGCGCAAGTTCAGAGAAGCCAGAAGAGCGCGCACTGTTCAAAGAGCACGCTCGCGACGGTGACGACATGCCCTCATGCAGCGGCTTTAAAAAGGCGTCTATTGCAGTGGATGCAGGTAATGCGGTTGCGGATCTCACAACAACCTCTTCAAGTACGCTCAGCTGCTCGGAGGCGGACGACCCCAAACGGGACGGGAAGGAAGATGCGCGCAAGAGGAAGAGGAAGCGGGGGAATGGCCCCAGAACTAGCAGCGGGATGCCCGGGTGGCCCTGATGATCCTCGCAAGAGAGGCATAAGCGATACCACTCTGAAATGGTACCTCAGGCACTTGCAAGACGGAAAATCCCCAGAGGAAGCCTACGGTGAAAAGCCACAAAGGCACTCATGATGTGCAGACGCCTGGCCGTCAGATCCTGGGGCTGCAAGCCAAGTACAGCCAAGGTGGCTGTAGACCATGATCGTGAGACCTATTGCTACATATGGAGCGGTGGTCTGGGCATCGAAAGTATCCCAGACTTCGATAAGTCTTCAACTATCGAAGCTGCAAACACTTGTCTGCGTCTGCGTCTCTGAGACAATGCGCACTTGCCCCACTGCAGCATGAGATCATGCTAGATCTCACACCGCTCCATCTAGTGATTAAACAGATTGCGAAGCATACTTAGCTTCTCATGACAGCAGAGAGGTATGAAAAAGGGAAGTTAACCTCGTCTCAACAAATGAGAGCCTTGGAGGAAAATATGCCACTGGCCCTTTTTCCAAGAGACGGCGTAACGAAAAGCATCTTTCAAGCAGAAGTATATAGGGGTAGCCGACAACGAGTTGGCCGACGAACTCGTCCGCTCTGCTGCTGCATCTAGGATGGAAGGAGGAGAGAGTGGGAAGAGAAAGTCACTGGCAGCAAACAATAGGTATGCTAAGCTGCTCCTGGGAGAGTACAACCTAGCCAGATTTAGAGATATGATAAACTTCCCTAGAGACAAATTCCGACTGCTTGTCCCGCTCTACACTGGGCACTGCAGGCTCAAGAAACATCTGGCCAACATGGGTATAACTTCTTGTGGAACCTACCGGTTCCGCGACATGGAGCCGGAAACACCAGAACACCTGATTCTCAATTGCACAGCAATTTGTAGACGCAGGCTTAAGGCCCTCGGTTCCATTTATGTGGACAGGGATTACATTACCTAAATAGCAGCCAGCAGATTTCTGGAGTTTGTCCAGATGTTGGGACTTTGGGAGAGGGTACAATAGACCCTAGGTTGCGGTGCAAACTTCATACTCTTCTAATTATATAACAACATTCACGTTTTCATAACAAATTTAAATTATTTCTTTAAATTTAGAAGACTTTCTGATTAGAGCAGAACTCTACCTAGCGCCTTTTGTTATTCCAACAATTTCAGTGTAAAAGACTAAGTGTATTCTTTAGTTTAGAGCTACCTTCTATGTATAGATTGCTACAAAAGAAGTCTTTTCCCATTCGCTTTTCACTCTTCGATCCTTATTGGTAGACATGACGAAGGTAAAATTAATGGGAAACTTTAGACTTCTGAAAGGTTACGTAACGGCTGCAACAGGATCATTTCAGCATTAAACTTCCAAGTCAAAATGGTTGCTTCAAGAATATTTCCCTATCTTTGATTACCAAACTTTTTTTTCCGGAAAAGTCTGCCGGAAATCACTGGTAGCAAGACAAATTTATATTTAATAATTTTATCGTAGCCGTTCAAATCTTCATTTTCAGTGCAATGCTTCGAAGGAATATTTGTGTTTTTGTCATACTTGGGGAATTTCCTTATTTTCTTATGTTACTTATTGTGTTTGTTTTCTTATGAATACCTAATTGTAACTCTAATGCAGTTTTCTTTGTTTTAATTTACATACCTTACAAACTACTACTACTACTAAGAAGAAGTCTTTTTAATACTCTTCATACACTCTTACAAATGATGAAATCACATGATAACCACGGCCAATTCCCACATAACATTTATAACTCACTAAATAAATGCATACATACATACATGTATACCTTTATTATTTAGATATGTACATATAACATTTGAGTTAGTTAGCTTAATTTTAATACACATATTTTGGACACGAAGCAAAGTGTAGTAACGAAACTAAGTGAGCCTATGACCAACGATATAAGTAAATACATATGTATGTATGTTATGATACCAAATTTGAAACCATTCGGTTTCTTCGAATAATGCATATTGAGTTCTTACGCAACATTTTTTTAAATATAAAGTTTTGCAACATCTGTTATGTAATTTTGATGATAATTTCATACGTTTATAACCTATTAGTGTTCTGTATTTAACTTGCCATTAAAATGAGTGAGTAATCCGTGATGTAAGCAATTAATATTAGCAGAATTAAACCCAGTACAAAACCAGCGCGATGAAGTGCATATGGAATGCCAATGACGCCGCTGCCGACAATAGAATTTATATAGTTGAATGATGCTTGAGGAAGTGAGGATAGTGCGTCTCCCCCTAATGTTATCGACGACTCATTTTGCTGTCCTTCTGCATCGGTATTCGGGCGCTGTTGGCGCATGGTTGGGTGCTTTGCCTGTTGTTAAGTATAATGAAAACGTATGCAATTTTTAGTAAAGGTATATCTAAGTACACATGGATTTATATGTTTTATTATAACATTTTTCATTCCAAGCGAAATGTAAAAAGCTGAATCGAGTGCATAAGAATATCTGATTTAAATTACTAACGAGAATTTTATATTATATTTACTTAATATCTTGAATAATCTTAAAATAAACAAGTAAGGAAGGGCTTAGTTCGGATGTAACCGAATATTTTATATTCTCGCAAAGTCAAATGGTATACTCGTTTTAGATTTCTTTGTGGATCTTGGCGCCTTGTTCTATGTTGACCGATATTTTCGGTGAAAAGTCAACTATAGGCACTGGGGTCAACATATTCAGTACCTAGGGGCTTGAACAGTTTTGATTCAATTTAGATAATTTTTGGTCACAAGGTGGCATACTTTAAACGTATTATTCACACAAAGTTTTACGTCGATATAATCATTGTTGCTTGATTTGCATACTGGATAGTGAAAAAATCAGATGGAACTTAAAATGATGCTATTTGGGAAATAGGCGTGGTTGTAATCCGATTTCGTCCATTTTCGTACTTTAACATAGAAATATGAAAAGAATATTATGCACCGAATTTGGTTGAAATCGGTTAAGCAGATCCCATGATATGGGTTTTCACCAAAAAGTGGGCGGTGCCACGGCCACTATCTAATTTTGAACGTGATTCCTATAAAATCATCTCATACCATCCCAGAGATAAAATTTAATGTCTCTGAAATGTTTAGTGCTTAATTTATCGCGCTTTTAGTAGTTTTTTACAGTACCGTTATATGGGGAGTGTGCACATTAAACACCTACTTTAAAAAAAAATTTTAACTGCAGATGCCCCTCCCTAATGTGATCCTGTATACCAAATAAGAGTCTTGTATCTTGTTGTGGAGATTAGTTATGGCATTTTTATTTGTTTTTGATTTATGGCGTTTTGTGGACGTGGCAGTGGTCCGATTACGCCTATCTGCAATACCTAATGTCTTACGGTACCAAGAAACATGTGTACCAAGTTTCATAAAGATATCTCAATTTTTACTCAAGTTACAGCTTGCACAGACGGACGGACAGACAGTCACCCGGATTTCAACTCGTCTCTTCATCCTGATCATTTATATATTTATAACCATATATCTAACTCGATTAGTTTTAGGTGATACAAACAACCGTTAGGTGAACAAAACTATTATACTCTGTAGCAACAAGTTGCGAGAGTACAAGTATAATAACTGAGTATTTCAGTTCAGCCACCAACATCTTTAACACATGGGCCATAGTAGGTAAATAAAAAAGAAGCCTATGTGAGTCGAAAAATTAAGCATTTAAATTTTTACTATAATATTTTTTATTTGCATATTTAATATTAAGAACTTATGCATGGTGTTGCCTTTTAAACTGCTTCATGCAACGTTACCAAGTTTTGCACAGCAACTTAAAATCCTCAAGAGATGGTCAGCCTGACTACAATTAATATGCAATTCGAATATATCAAAGGGTTGTGGATCATTAATACTATTTCGGAAAGTATTTGCTAAAAAACAAAGAGTTTGTACATAACATATGTACAGTAACCCCCGGATAATTGCACTTCAAAAATTGCACAGTTATAAAAATAAAAAAAAAAACTTATGGAATAAAAACTCATTTAGAGATCGTTGCTTACATTTTAAAAATATTAACGACTTGCTCTGTAATGTTTTTTGTTCAATCTACGATAGATTCTATATTCCCTTATTCACACAAAAACTTATTTTCTGAAATATGAAATATGTTTGAAGTTTTTGTATATATTTTGAAACTTCGAGAACTGACGGGACGAAAAGTCTTTGGAGGATCATCTTTCTCTTGCTGCTCAATATCAGCTCTATCCAAAATATCTTCACTAATAAACATCTGTTTTCAATTGCTTTGCAGAGATGCCAACTGCTGCTTATCACAAATGTTGCGAAATATGTATGTGCGGCAATTCCAGATTATTTTTAACGAGAGTTTTTTATGCAATTACCCGAGGGAAATTTAAGGGTGTGTTTTTTTCAATAACACATACTTTTAACCAATTATGCGGGGAAACCAATTTAGCGGGAAAATTTCCACGTGTTTTGTATTTAATATATTTCTGACCGTTCAAATAAGCGGGGGACAATTAAGCGGGGGATACTATACTATATAAACTATTATAAGAATCTTGTGTAGACGATTTTGAAATAGAGTACGAATAGAATTTGTTTCATAATAAAATTTCAAATAGAGCAAGAGTAGCCAAGATTTTTTACTAGATTACGATTGATTTTTTGAGCGCTTCAGTCAGCAATGTTTTATAAAACCAAATGAGCAAATTTCATTCGATATTAAATATGGTGTTTTATTGAATGAAGATGACTTTAACTATATAGGTGTGAATGCTATGAAAATATTATCTCCTATTAAACACTATTCCTATTACACATAAATTCGAAAACTGTCTAATACAATAAAATACATATAGATTGAATTGTAAATCAACTAATATTTTTTTTATAAATAATTTATTTATATATAAAAAATATAATTATTTCTAAATTATCTCATGTCAATATTTTACAAGGTTTAATTTAGGCAAAATTTAAACTCTCTAAGGTAAAATATTCGAATGTTTGAAAATATATTCATCTCTCTATCACAGTTCTAAAATATTGCAAAACTTTTTTGTTGAAAATGTGAAGTAAGAATAAAAGTACGGCATTCCTCGCAGCGTTATATTTTAAAAATGTTCAAACAACAACAAATTTCCAAAGCTCAAATGTGGGGATACATTTACCATACAGAAGTTGATTAAACTTTTTTATTCGTCGAAACCGGTGATAGATTCATTTAGTTTCATTGGTACATTTCGCTTCATCCTCATATATGAAGAAAGGTCAACCGAAGGAGTCAAGAAAACATGAAAACTTAATTTAATTTACATAACTATACACACTTTTAAATGATATAAAGTCAATCGGAAACTTGGAATCACTGTATTGGGTACGCTAGCACTAGGGGAAAAGTCTGAGTAAAAATGTTGGATTTTTGTATTTACCTTCCTAATACACTAATATCAAGAATATAGTGATTTGAATTATTTAGGGGATCACCAAAAAATTTAACTCCAGAGCCATACGAAAACATCAACAACATATTTGATTTAGATTAATACTTATATAGTACTAAAAATGGCGAACATAGAATTCAGGCCCAACATTTTTATACCCTATTGAGATATATTTTTTGATTAAATTCATACACGTGTTCCTTGACACAATCAAAAGATTGATATTGTAGATAGGTGAAATTGTACTTAAGCCACACCTTCTTTGGTTGTGGTGTGGCACGAATTCCTAACTTGTCCAAGCTGTTAATCTGAATAATTTCGTGAGCATATTGATAAGGTAAGTTACCTGATATTTTGTTGTTGTTTTTCTTGTCAAATAAAGATTTGGTTTAAAACATAAATAGACTTTGAAAAGTTAACTCCTAAAGCTCAGATTGGGCGAAAGGAAGGTGTAATGTATTAAGTCCTTGTTTCACAGAGTTCGAAGTTACTTTTAATGTAGTTAAGTTGTAACTTCTTTATTATCACACAGCATGCACAATTATATTTTTAAATTTTTAAAAAATTTACATGCACTTTGGTTCAGTTTCAGCAAAGGCGTGGCTTCAAATAAATTTGTATATCCATTAATTGCTTCTCTTGAATACCAGTTTACTTTTTTACCCAGTGATGTATTCTGTTCTTCTATTATTTTGGCATACCCGTTAACTTAAAGTGCATTGGTTTGTATATTTACCTCCATAAGATTATTGATGTCATCAAATGCATGAGTTTCACTTTCCGAAACATCGCTTCCCTAAAAAACAAACATTATAAAATGGGAAACCGTTTTTGTACAATAATTTGACATAAAAGTAAATGTAGAAAATTTGTAACTTGTTATAGCGAATTTAATCTATAATTTATAAAATCTAAAGGAATCCAGTATTGCTTATTTTTTCGAAATTAGGCATAAATCACATTCATATTTGGTCTCTAACTTAAACTATCGGTCATATAATCACCTAGTCGTATATGCCTACAAGTACATATACTTAAATCAAGGTGCGGGGTGCATACCCGTATCTATAATTTATATTACCGAATAATATATCGCTAATTTTAAATGAGATATATTTTCTTGAAATAATTATGTATATGGGCTATATATTTAACCAAAGAAATGAAAATAAAATATTGTTCATAAGAGCATAAATAAACTGTTTAAAGCCGACTGTTACAAGGACAGACAATTATCATAGAAAGACACTCTCTGTATTTCTATAAGAATTGACTGATATATACATTTTATATGTTAGGTATATTATGGGAGCCAGGGAGACTATTGATCCGATTTTACCCATTTTTTACACATTACAAATATGCTCTCTGAGTTTCATTAATATATCTTAGTTCTCATTCCAGCACATTTGACTTAGCTGACTCACTTTTCAAAATTAAAAAGACTTTATTGTTTTCTCTTAATAAATGAAAATGTAACAATTTATTATATTGTAACTTTAAATCTTGGCTGCTGAAATTTTTGTTTCTGTAGCTGAGCAGTTTTAGATCTCAACACTTAAAAAACTCTCTTGCCTTTTCTGACTCGGCTAATTCCGCACGTATGCGGACTGCGCCCCTCGCGTCAGTTGGGCGGGAGGAGGGATATCGTTGGGTTATTATTAAAGATTGACGGATATTTTTGGTAAAGGTCAGTTATAGACACTGAGGTAAAAATATTCGATATTTGCCGGCTTGAAAACTTGTGGTCTGATTTCGACCATTTTTGGAACAGAGATGAAATACCTTAACGGCACTACTAGTGCACAGTTTTGTTCCGATGTTTTCATTGGTGCTTGATTTCTATACTATAAAGTGACAGAATCAGATGGAATTTTAAATTGTGTATATGGGAAGTAGGCGTGTATAGTTTGACCAGGGATAAAGGAATTTCCAACTTATTCCAGTGTGAGAGCGCCTCAAAATTATAATTTTTATAACATTTTGCATTGTAGCCAGATCGGACAAAAGAATATTGAATTGAAATACCCAACATTTATTAAGATTAAATATGATTATAGATGTATCCGTTAAACATATGGAGAAACAATTAAAATCCTTTTGTGTGATTTGGTGATATATTAAAACAACTTATTTTAGAACTTTCAATACTTAATCAAGTGAAAAAATGTATTAGCTCAATTAATAAATGTTTTTTATCATTTTCAATTGAAAATTAATACAACTAAGCATGCCATTACAAAAGATTTCTCCCCGTAGATTTAAATTTCTCGTTTTCTTTAATTTTCACTATTTTCCAATTTTTGATAGTGATCTTCAACAGCGGCATCAAATCTTTCTGTCCACATATTTATTTTGTAGAATTTCAACCTGGCCGTCCCTTTTTTTCTATTGTTAAACTTCAAAACCTCCTGAATTTTGACAGTTTACTGAGTTCAGGGGGTTTTGACGTGCAATCTCTCATTTCCTGTGACAGAAAACTGTTGATATTGGTCGAACAAGTTTGAGTTATTCAATTTCACCTAAAAAACGACGGTGCCACACCCATTATTTAATTTTTACTTATGGTTGCATTTCGTTGTTTAGCTTTAGTGATTTCTGAGATATATATAGTTCACAAACATCCATTAGGCGACCAAAACTATTATGCTCTGGTGCAACATGTTGCGAGAGTATAAAAATCGTTTATATGTATACCTGTGGTAGATACATAGCTGGATAGTTGTTTGTGTTTGTAAAGCAACCAATTCGTCACAATTCTACCCTAGTGATTGGGCTTAATGTATGAAATTCATCATTATTTTCTAGATGCGGTAAATGTACCAAAGGATATTCAAGAGTACTCACGCCATAGCTCACTTCATCCCCTTTACAATGGAGTAGAGAAACTATCAGCTGATCAGATGTAAACAAAGCGACAGCTGAGAGGTGTCCGTGGGGAAATGTCAACTCCGTCTAGGGGTTGAGTTTATATTGGCATCCAAGATGGCCGTCTTTTGACCGGAAAATGATTGCATATTGCTATTTTATTTTAATTTATGAAAAAGTTTTCACAAAAATATTGGATATATGCAAAACTTTAATATTTTTTTAAAGTAAACTCAGTTTATTTTAATATACATATATTCAATTAAACAACCATGTGAAATCCAGAATATGCTTCAACGAAACTGCAGATAAGTTTTATAAATTTATGCAAAAATAATAATTATATTAAAAACAATATTTAAAAACAACTCACATTTGTAAAAATATGTTTGTCATATGTCAAAAATATTCAAATGTGTTGCCAGTATTGCTATTGAGCATTGCGTAACAATGTTGCGTAACTTCAACATATAATTAAAAACTTAACTTAGATCTATATAATAGTATTTAAATTTTTTATGTAAAGAGTTATACCAGAGAATGTTAATGAATAGAGAAGGCGAAAATGTTAAATCAAATCTTTTTGTGTACTAATTTGTAATTCCAGATGAGAGAACATAGAAAAATATAACTTCGAGAAAGAAAAATACCCCACGCAATGTGCGAAATGCTATAAATAGACACAACGAATTTTCCTAAATGAAAAATCGTTGCGCATATTTAGATTTGTTTTCAATTTCTATGATATGACAAAATTTATAATTATGAATTAAAAAGCTGTATTACTGGTAAAAACCCCAGAGTTTATAATAAAATAAACATTTAATAGGCTATTTTTCCAACATATGTATGTGCGTCTTATCGTCTTATCGTTTTTTTCAACACAATGTCCGGCGAACTCGCCGTTAATTCGTTGGCTTGCCACCATGAACAGAGGCGTATAATTGATATATACGTAAAAATATAAATACAAATAAATGCATACCCATAATCGCTTTTAAACTAAATTCGATAAATAAAATATATATCTGATATAATTATGTGGCAGTGCGCCCCTGTCCCCTCCTTACTTGCGGTCGTTCAACTTGCTTCTCGCAAAAAGCAAAGAGTGTGGACAAAAGTCATTGTTTGTGTGGGGCAAGAAGAAGCAAGCATCAGCGTACGTGTATTTAAGAATGTATGTGTGATTATCACATTTGTGTAAATACGCATAATAAGGGAATATTCAATAAGGCTAAACATATGAACAAAGGTATTTCCTTGAAATATTTTATTTATCTCAGCAAGTAAAATATGCTATAAAATTTAATTGAGATATGCATAGATTCCAATAAATAAAATTAAATTAAATTTAGGTTTCATGAGTTTCAGGATTCGTACGTATAGGCTCGTATTCGAATTGAGTTTAACTCCTTCACGCTTACGATCTCAGCCACCTCAAAAGTGGAAACGCGGCCGGTTAGCCACCGTTTTATGGTTATCCTTTGCCCAATTATATCAGATATATATTTTATTTATCGAATTTAGTTTAAAAGCGATTATGGGTATGCATTTATTTGTATTTATATTTTTACGTATATATCAATTATACGCCTCTGTTCATGGTGACGATAAGACGCACATACATATGTTGGAAAAATAGCCTATTAAATGTTTATTTTATTATAAACTCTGGGATTTTTACCGGTAATACAGCTTTTTAATTCATAATTATAAGTTTTGTCATATCATGAAATTGAAAACAAGTCTAAATATGCGCAACGATTTTTCAGTTAGGAAAATTTGTTGTGTCTATTTATAGCATTTCGCACATTGCGTGGTGTATTTTTCTTTTTCGAAGTTATATTTTTCAATGTTCCCTCATCTAGAATTACAAATTAGTACACAAAAAGATTTGATTTAACATTTGCGCCTTCTCACTCTTTAACATTCTCTGGTAGTATATTAGGACTAGTGATGGTGGTTGCTTCTAAATATTTCATTGGAAAAACAAAAATATTTGATTTTTTTTCATTTCGCCCTACCTAGAAAGTCTGATAAGAGCTGGCCTGACTCTGGCATACAAAACAGAATCGTGGAGAATTGCGCAGGTAATCCAAGGTGGGAAAGAAAAATTATTGACTGCCAGGTCTGCGTCTGATAAAGGGATGTTGGTACCGGGTGGGACTTAACATCAACCCTTCAAATATAACCATCGTTTTGACAACATTTAGTAGTATAGAAATAGACACCCCACTCCACATGGTGATTAACCAAATTGCGAATTGTTATGGTAGAGGAAAGGTGACATTGTTTCAAAATATGAAAGAAATCAGTGAGAAGATCCTCCTCCCCAGGGACGATATCATCAAATGCAAGAATTACATTATTAAATTTGATATAACTCCTAGTAGCATAAACGAATGTAATGACTCCAAAATAGAACCGCTCTTTAGAGATAAGACTATCCAGTGCTACACCGACGAATCGAAAACGTGATAAGGCATTGGAACGGACATAGTGGGAACCCCACAAGACTCTCCGTGCCCATGTTTTCTGAGCATCTTTCAAGCAGAGATCTTTGCAATAAATCTGTGTGCGGTTTTAAGCCTTCTACTAAAAAGTGTTGGTAATGTTTACATACGTTTTCCAGTTTTTATTACAAACTCAATCAAACTATTTTCCTTGTATGCATTGAACGCTAATCATAATAGTATTGAAAGCTTGGTAGTCTTACCTGTCTTTGTAGGATGTAACTGAATTCTGTTGCAGTATTGCGGCGACTATCACTCATTCTGTTTACGATCTTTATCAAGAATTCAACCGGGATGATTTTCAATAAATTTAACTGAAACTGGAATGCACTGCTGTGATGGACATAAATTTTACCGTCAAATCTTTGAGGAAGCGAGGAATAAACAGCAAAAATCACAATTTATCTAGCTATTTACACTTTCTAACATTTATGTATAGAAACTAATTTCTTTCAGTTTAGTTAGCCTAATTTTGTATATAGGTTTTTATGTGGTAATATTTTAGGTTACTCTGTTTTAATGGTGCACCTTGAGGCTTTTCAATGGGAATGGTACCAAATATGACGTGTTACTTTCGCTCTCATTACGTTGAGGGTCTAGATTATTTGTTTGTTTTAGTGTTTCGCTTATCCGCCGACTTGCGACATCGAAACAGTTGTGACAATCGGTCGAGCTTGTGTATTGCTGTTTTTGAAAGTGGATGTGTTGATGGCTTGATGCAAGGTGGCGAGGTAGATGGGCGAGAAGTGATTGTGTAAATGCGAATCACAAATAACGAATCTCAAGTGCCTGACTCCCACGAAAGTTTTGTGTTACTTGGAAGGGCGTCTGTGCTTTGCGAGTTGTCCTTTTCGTATGTGCGGTTTTATGTGTTGTCAATTTCACTGTCGGATTGCATGAAATTTGAAGGTCTCTTCCTTTTCTACATAATAATAGGCCTTAGTTAAGTGAAGTTTCGTTCCACACTGCATTCAATTACATATGCTACCGTTGTGTACACAAGTAGAAATTGATTGATTTTTGTTTCGCGTTAACCTTATTAACCACTCTGAAATAATTCAGTTGCTCGAGATATTAACACTTGTCTGTGGTTTCTACATAATACAATAAAAAAACATAATTACTTTATTGTGGTTATGGTTGCAACGATATTCACTGTCAAGTTCAAAAATTTTCAGCAGTTGGTTTTGTTATGTGAGACAATTGCGGTGTTGGGAAATATTTGGCATCTTAAACGTAGCACACCCGAGTAGTAACTGCTTGCTTGTTATGCTATAATGGTAAACTTTATACGCGAGGATAACGCCATCGTCCTTCTCGGAGTTTGCATCCCAAATTCTCTACGCTCTTTCAGTTGGTCAGCATGTATACAATCGCTTTTCTCTCGGCTCTAAAGAGCAACTCTCATATTCGACAAGAGTTGCCAGATTTAGTAGTTTAGCTATATCCTAAAGAGGTTTTTACAATTACCATATTCAAACCCAAATTCGAACCTGCTGTCCTTATCTTATTCAAAGTTTTCTATTTAGAATATGCTTTACAAATACTACTAAAAGAGATTTGCCTTATTATCTTTTATATACATATTTATAAAGTTTTTCTATTGTGAATAAAAAAAATTTTAAACCGGAGAACACTTGGTAGTTTCTCACTAACATATTACCTCTGATTGAAGTCTTCTATTGAAAACAAATAATTGGCGTATTTATATAATGCATCCTTATACTAATTTATTCATTTGTATACTCAACCAGAGAATGTCAATAAATAGAGAAGGCGCAAATGTTAAGAAGTACTAATTTGAGCTTTTCATAAGATGGAATATCGAAAAGTACAACTTCGAACCTTAGAAATGCACCACGCAACGACCGAAATGGGGAAAATGCTATAATTAGAAACAAAGAATGTTCTTACATGAATTATACGCAAGCTGACTTACATTTGCATCTTACCAAAAAATCATAATGTTTGTAATTTTAAATAATCCCTCAAATTATTTAAGAGGATTAAATAAAATAAATAATTAATAGATAAATTCTTCAACACATTTTTGTGCGTTGCATGAACAAACTCTAATAGGCATAGGATAACAATAAAACAGTGGCATTTTTGAGATAGCTCAAGTCCTAAGGAGTTAAGGTCAATCGGAACACGACCATTAAAGTTCGAATCCAGAAACTCATGAAACTTGAATTTTATTTAACTTTTTTATTTTATCAATTGGAATCTTAGTATATCTCAATTCAGTTACTTAAATAGCATATTTTACTCACTGAAACAATTAGAATATTTCAGGAAAATATGTTCATATGTTTAGATTTATTGAATATTCCCTTATTGATGCGTATTTACACAAATGTGACAAATACCAATGCTTTCTTAAATACACGTACGTTGATGGTTGTTTCTTCTTGCCCTGCACAAATAAAGAACAACTAGAACGAAGCAAACCTTTATGTGCGTTGCATGAACAATATCTAATAGGCAAATGATAACAATAAAACAATTTCCAAGTGGTTTTGTGGTGGCGTAGGTCGTAAGCGTAAAGGAGTAAAAATCAATCCGAACACGAGTATTTACGTTGGAATCCTGTAAATCATGAAGCTTAATTTTTATTTTTATTTTATTTTATTATTTGACATTTTAGCTGATCTCAATTCAGTTACTTAAATAGCATATAGATTTATTGATGCGTCTTTCGCTTGTTGCGAAAACAACTATAACGATCGCTGGCAAGGAGGAGTCAGGGGGTGCACGGCGACATATTTATTTCAGATTTTTTTTTATTAATAAAATTTATTTTAAAAAAATATAAATATTATATATTACGTAAATAAGCTCTTAGATATCAGCATTTCTGAATTCAAATCAAGCAATATAATAATATGATATGAATCCTCCGTTGAAACTCCTCTGTCCATGGTGGCCCGCTATTATGAAGGTTTTCAGTGATTTTACCAGCAAATATTACTAAGTTAAGGTTGATTCAGGTTGCTTAATAAAATATCAGGACAACCTAATTTCAACACCATTTTGTGAGGAGGGAGTCCAGACGGGTTCAAAGAGTTTAGAAATTCTGTAGGAAAATGAACAGTTTCTTCCAAATCGAGAACAATATCGACCGAGTAGTATATTTTCATCGACGCATCAATCTTTGAAAGAATCAAGTTATTTACCTTATCTACTTGTTAGTTAGTTAGTGACAGAATCGCTCTTTCTTTAAACTAAGATATTGTCTTATAACCTATATTATCAATGTCAGGATATACATTGTTGACTAACTCTTCAATGTTATCTATCAAAACACAAAGGTTTTCTGGGCTAATCCTTTCCTCCCTTTGTATTAACTCTCCATTGCCAACTTTTAGCAGCGTCTCTGGAAATAGCCTGTTCTCACGTGAATATGACGAAACCCTCATATTAGTTTTAAGTCCTAATTTATTGACATATGGCCAAAGGTTGGATCTTTTTAGGGAACATTTATTTTGTCAGCCCGTGTTCCTCGAGTCACAACTGGTAGGATTTGACGGAAATCTTTTGAGAACAGAATTATACATCCACCCATAGATGAATTTTTATTAGTGTTATTATCATCGGTGGCGATTTTCAGCGTGAACTTGAATGTATAGTGTGCGGTTCGGCCTCTTTCCAAAAGCGTAGCGGCAATGCCGGATGACGCAACAGCTAACGCAATTTTTCCGGTAGATCTCACTTTTTTTAAAAGCAGATTGAGTAAAATGTTTTTCCTGTACCTCCTGGGGCATCAAGGAAAAACAGTTTCCATCAATTTCTCTTGTGTATTCGGCACTCTTAGTTAAATCTGAGTTAGTAGTATTAGCTGACATCGGCAGCCCAAAATCCTTGGTCGATTTACCCGAAAGTAATTGCATTACTTTGTTCAATTCAAATAATGCTTCGTCATGTATGTTTTGATTATATTGTACATCATCATCCATAGATTAACAGAATAAGTTACTTGACAAAACGCTACTATGACGGCAAATAAATATCTTAATGATGTAGCTGAACTACAAACAGCTGCTTCTGATAATTTGTTTTCCCAGTGAGAATCGTCTTCCAAGAGACCCATAGCTTTGCAAGCTGCTTGATAAGTATTGTAAACAACACCTTGTACAGTTCTTAGGTGTGCGAAGGATGTCGGTCCATTTACAATATGCAGTAACATCCTCAGATAAAAGCATTCGCTGTTGTTGCGATGAATCACGTAGACTCTGCCAAGAGCATGCGTTTTTTTTACTCCGGTTTCATGTATAGTAACTTGTAACTCTGTCATATGTCAGTGTTTTCGCGAAATCATCTTGAGCACATAACTTGAAAAATGCTGTCAATGTTGTATTCCTCTTGTTATTAACAACTTCTTGCATATTGTTCTCAGTGAAATATACTCATTGTTCTAAATGAGCTGCAAGGTGGACAGATGTGGGAGCCCGGTCGTACACTTCGAATGATAAAATATAGCTTCAGAGCTGCAGATGCAACGTCCAGACTGATATTTTTCCACTTAATTTGGTGATTGTATGCTGAAAGTGGCTTGATCACTGCCTTTATTAATGTACTTAGTAACATATTGAATTGCACAACTCTACGTTGATGTGGGCATCCAAATTTTTCAAAAGGAGCGGATTATAGGGAACGATCCATCAATTATCAATATCATAGTTTCGGACGGTAGCATTTTGCCCACCCTGTTCTGGCGATCGACGACGATATTTGGGATATTCGTCATCGCTAGTATTTGTTTGTGTTTGGAACGACTTTGGAAATTTTTTGTTGCATTTAGAATCTCGCATACATGGAGAATTCGGATTTAAAGTCCCACAAGGGCCGTGTACCATATGTTTCATTACGATTTCGTACAGGATAGGAGCTTCATCTTTATCCGAAAATTCAGCTGAAATAACCCTGTCAATTTGGTTTGGTCTAATTTTGTACACTAACCACACCTTTCCTCTGCGAATGGCAGGCACCTTGCCGTGGTGCAGGGGCTTAAGTCGCAAGGCATTCTCGGCATCTCCCAACTGGTGTGAGCGGTGCTTGCACCCTCACACTAGTTGTCAGAAGACGTATGCGTGCGACAACCAAGAGCTGCTACCTCCTAATCCAGGGTGTTATGCGACTCCCGTGCCCATTGGATGATTTGCAGCCAGGAGGTATATTCGGCTGTAGTATAACGGAGCCTTCCCAACACCGGGCCGCATTGGAAAGTAACGGTGGCCTTATCGCGTCAAAGGGCTCTTGCGCGGCGGACTCTTCCCCTATACAAAAGCTGACCCGACGGCTCGCCCTGTCGAGCCAAGGGTCGAAAGAAAAAGATGAGCAAAACAACAAAAACAAAAACCACAACTATAACTATTGAAACCCGGCAACAACAACAGCAATCGACTTTGGACAACGGAAACAACAAGAGCAGCGGTGCAGGTAAGGGCGAATCAGGGACTAAACGTAAGTTCAGCTTCCTGGACGCCCTTTCGTCAGAGGAGCGAGCGCTGTTCGAGGAGCATGCCAGGGATGACGATGATGACATGCCTTCGTGCAGCTGCGCACAGCAGACGACTTCTACTGCGGCCGCTGCGGAAAAAGAAAAAGAGAACCCGACGGAGACTCTCTCGAGCAGGAGCAACTGCTCGGATACAGAGGAGTCGCAACGGGCGATCACCGGTGGGAAACGGAGAAGGAAAAGGGGAGGCAGACTACCCCCCTGCCACCAACAGGATGTCCGGAGGACAGGACGATCCCAGAAGAAAGGAAATGAGCGGTGCCAGCCTGAAGTGGTACCTGAGGCACCTCCAGGAGGGAAGAACTCCGAAACCCTAGCGCGAAACAGGGTGAGAGGTGATAGCACCTCACCGGCTTCAGGAAAGCAAAAGGGTGGTAACACCGCGGCCATTAGGAAGCGTAATGGCAGCAATCGAGGCCTAGTAAGCGCAACTCAGCCCGCGGGCCGAAGTTGCGAAAGGCCAGCTCCCTCGACCACCCAAGCGGCTAAGCGGACAGCTGACGCCGCAGGAGCCGCCCAACACCAATCGGCCAGTGGAGAGACAGCGCAGGTATGCGGATGCCCTCAAAGGCATTCGCATGGCTGTGCAGCCGCTGAACTACTCGGCCTGGATACAAAGCCTCCTTCCATGGGGTATATTTTAAGGGAGGCATGCTGCAGGTTGACTGCAAGGATGGAAGGTCGGCTTGTTGGCTGAGGGAGAATGCTCCCAAGCTAGCAGGCTGGAATGGCCCCATCCTCTGCGCGAAAAAGGGGGATGAAATTCCGCCCATGCATCGCATGACGGTATTCCTCCCTAGATGCGCAGGCAAGTCGTATGAGTTTGCTCTAGGGCTCATCCGCAATCAAAACGATGGCCTCAACACATCGGCCTGGCGGGGGACCAGTAGCATAGCTGAAGATTTAGGGTGGAGGCTCAACCTCTGCATTGATGACGAATTGAGATGACGAATCGTACAAATTCGTCAGGAGGGTGAGCTTCCGCCTGAACTACAGGTTCAGCTCGGTGGTCCTGAGGCCATTCAAGCCAAAAACTATCACCGAGGG